GCTTCTCCAGGCGCCTGCTGAACACACCCCTGGCTGAGCAAGCCCGGACCCCAAAAGCCAGGTGAAGAGAAGACCCAAAGATGTGGCGGAAGAGGGGGTGTGGGGGGAAGGGGTGCGGACATAAGATGGTCGAAGGGGAAGTTAAGATACCATAGTTTTAAAATAGACTTGCCAACCCACTAATTACAGTGTCTGAAAATGCCAAAGCTGTTCTCTGGGGAAACAAAACAAACCAAACACTGGAAGTAACTTGCAAATACACTGTCTAGTCTTTTCTCCTTTGGGGGAGGGGGGTGTTGAGCAGGCGCTTTGCACGGATAAGGGAATGAGTTTCCTCTTTAGAAGGTGCTTGCTTATTGTTTGGTTGGTTTCACACAGAAACTAGCAGCTTAAGGAAGTTCTTTCTAGTGCTCATTTATCGTGAATTTTTTGAAATCATGAATGACTGCTAAATTCTATTAAATACTTCATCTGAATCTGCTGCAATAGTCTTAATGATTTTCTCCTCCTGTAATCTGTTAATGTGATAAATTACATCTACAGATTTTAATGCTAAGCCACCGTTACATACTAAGAACATCATAGTAAACAGATTTAAACCTAGAACTTTGTGAAATACTGCTGTCACTTGTTTTACATAATATTTCATGTTTTAAAAAGGATGGTTGCCAGATTAAGTTTGAAAACCACAGGACAAGTAGCCTTTTGAGGGTCTTCCTAGTCCACAATTCTCCAACTGCTCTGTGTGAATTACGCTTTCAGTTTCTCTAATGCTGCCAGAAAAGGTAGCTTCTCCCAGATGCCAACTCAGTGTGACAGAGTGCAGAGCAGACAATGAGACAAGAGATAGTTTAACATTTAAGTGACAGAAGTTCTGGGCTTCAAAGAAATGCTGACATCTTCAACTCACAGGAATGTGAGAATGCTGAAAAATCAGAACATTAGTCATAGACAGATGCGAGGCGAACAACAGTATTCTTACAAAATCAGTGGCGTAGAGAACTTCAGGACAAGGGGACAAAACAAACGACCAGAAGAGTAATAGAGAGAAGGCAGGACGCGGGAATGCTACGGTTTTTCCTTTTTATTTAATCAAAGACGGGTGGATAAACATAAATACAGCACAATTACTTCAGATCATTCTTCATATTGTGTACACACAGACGGATGAACATCATCTGAAAGAAACCTGCAGTCAGCAATGAAGCGTATACAGCTTTTCCTTCCCTCGCTCAAAAAAAATTTAAAAACACACAAACTTAGAATCTCATCAGCACACTCTCTCCCATGACAAATGATTCAGACATAAATAGTGGGTGCAAAGAAACTATATGCTAACATATGTATAACCTTTGTTAATGAAAAAACAGAAGCAGCTGTAATGATTAAGATACATTCAGTTACCGATAACTAGCTGTGCCCTAGAGGGCATTACCAAAAGAGAAATCGTGCTGCAGAGAAAAGCTATATATACATACACAATGAGAAAATAAACCGCAAGATTAACGCATGCATGTTTAATACTGGAAAAAAATCACAGCCCTCCAAAATTTCTCCAAGTTTGTTATAAAAGCCCTCTGCACTCAACTAAAATTAAAATGATCTTAAAAGGATAATACTTGTGAAGTTTACTTAAATCTTCTCAGCCCAGAAACTGCAATGGAAATAAATGTTCAGAGTCATTTTCAAAACAAAAACAAAAATCTATTCTTCTGATGACATGCATGATTAAAAGGTCTATGCAAGATACAATGCTCTACATTCCCAATGACTAGGAAAAAAAACCTCAAGTCAATTTTTAGTTTGCAGATGGTCAAAGGATTTTGTATTCCAGCAGGAGCTCAAATCTTCTGGATCTTTTCGCCGACAACTACTGGATTTTCTTTTCTGATTTTCTCAGCAGCATCGGCTTTGTAATTGTAAGAGCAATTGTGTACATCTGAGTAACGGTGTACACCACAGTAAACATTTCCACACCGGCATTCAAACCCTGAAAGTGGATTAATACACACACCTGAGTTGGATGCAAGATCGAAATATTAAGTTCCTTAGCATAATTAATGTTACACAGATCATGTATTTAGGGCTACAATCTAAACCATAATTCTAAACAAGCAGTTTCACGACCCAAGACCATTCTCAAAATTCACTTGCTGACGGCTTCCTATCTTTAGCAGGCATGCACTAGCATGTCACCACCACTTCTCTGAGCTCCTTTCCTTGTATGTGACATGGCCACAATTACTTCCCATCAAAAGCAGATTGCTAAATTGAAAATGTAAAACATTTCTGGGACCCAAACTCTACAATGTGAAAATAGGCACACTGTCAGAAGGCAATCTTAAAATTTAACTAAGAAAGAAGAAATGACCCTGTGACAGAACTGTTAACAAGTAACAGCATCCGCACCAGCTTTCCTTGGCTAACTTCCAATGGAAGAGAACTGCACCTCGGATGAGTGATTAGAAGAATCATGGGGTCTAGAGTTAGGCTGCCTAAGCATGAATCTACTTACTGACATAGGCAAATTACTTAGCCTCTCTGTGCTTCAGTTTCTGTCCCTGTAATTTTGGAATAATAAGTTACTGTAAGGATTACATGAGGAATGTATTAAGTGCTTAACACATAGTAAACACACAACAAACGCTAATTAGTCCATAGTTGAAGTAAAAAGAGAGATATTAGGACGGTGGACAGTCTACACAAAACTGGTCCTGCTCCTCAATGAGGATTTTATGCTGGGAAAGAATTATTGGAAATGGAACACAGGAATCAGTATTTTAAACACTGACAATTGATGTAAACTTCTGTTACCACATTTTTTAAGTTTAAAAATATATTCTGTAACTTTATAATGAATGAATGAAAAACGAAGCCAACAATAACCCCAGACTGATAGACTGGAAAAGAGAGAATTAGTAAGTCTCAGCCATCCAGTCACAAAATTTGAGAGTTTCTGAGATTTAGAAAGACTATATTTGATACTAAATATGTAAATCTTCAAATGTCTTATCTGTTCATGTTTGGATGGGCCAATCTTAAGCATCTTTGATATCATACTGAAATCTCCTTTCCTCTTTACCTCCAACCTATTCCCTAGCCAGAGAAACTTCCCTAAAACATCAGTTTGCTCAAAATCTTATCTACTTCTCTTCTCAGCTCATACTGAATTCAGCGCAATGCCTGGCACATAGCAGACAATAAATGGTCACTAGTGTACCTTGAACTGCTCCCCCAAATTCACCACAGTCCACAGTATTAGCCTCATCTCTGCTTGTCTGATCCTCACATACTCTGTGCCACAGCAACCTTCCCCATTCCTGGTCCCTGAAATGCCCTATTCTTTCCCTTCTCTGAGTTTTCCTTCAAGCTATTCTTTCTGGCTGAAATGCCTATTTCCATCAGTTATAGTCCTATTCAACTTTCAAGACCCAGCTAAAACATTTTGCCTTCGTGATACTTTCCTCAGTGGGCCTCTACTCCTCTTCCCATCCCTGAATTACCAAATCAATCTATTGGACTACACTTACTGTGCTTTCTTTGTTAAATACCCAAGCAGTATCTCAAACACTTTTTTCTACCTCTCTTAGCAACAATGCCACCTGACAACTCTGTTGCAGTAGTCAACATGTATCGATTACTTATTGTGTGGCAGCACCAGCATGGGGTAATCCCCTTGGTAAGTATTAACTCACTGAATCCTCACAACAACCTATGATGAGCCCTTTATACAAAGTACTTCACAGCTCGCCAGGTACTAAATATTCTCTCACACACAGTTTCTGGGTCCTTGAAGGCAGGAGCCACATCTTTGCCGTTTCACAGCACCTGGCACACTGACCTAACTTGTCTCACTCTCAAAACTCAGCTGAAATGATTTCTTAAAATAAAACTATTGATTTCACTTTTAGGTACATAATTATATCTACTTTTTAATTTAAGAAAATGCAGAAGCTGAAGCATAATCCAGTATTAACTCTCACGGAATTAGCAACAATCTTACTTGAAGCCAGTGATAGTAAACCAGGCGTTACTTTGAAATCTTACGTTTGAACCATGAGATCTGGGCCCTTACCAGTAAGTCCCACTTTCTTCCTGCACATGAAACAGCGGTTCTTTTTCTGTTTTGGTTTTTCAAGAGACTTGCTTTGCTCTTCAGATGGCTGCTGTGCCGTATCTGATACTGAAGCTGACAAAAATTGGAAGGCGGTAAAATTTAATTATTCAATGATATTTGGGTGGTGGTTGTCCCCCACCCCAAACCCACTGACCTGCTAATCAGAGGGTAACTGAGGAATTTCTTTATTTATGAAAAGATGCTCACACTAAGTTACAAAGAGTTTATATAAACACAACCCTTTCTGTTAAATGTAGGTATGTATGTAACATATGTACACACATGCAGAATATATATTAATATGTTCACAGTGACTCCAGAAAGTGTTGTATCTTCTAACTTTTGTAATAATTATGTACTTGACCAATAAAAGGCACCCAGACACATACTTAAATACTACTTAGGCATCCTAAGGACGTGTGTAAGAAAATGGCCTTATGCAAACTTTTAAACATTGCTGGGGTCAGAACTATGTAGATTTCTCAGGAAAAAGGGGGGGGGGGGCT